GTCAGAATTTGATGGCTTCCATATTTTGCTCTCTCTAGGTCCGCTAGAATATGTTCCATCTGTCGCGTCGATGCGCGTATGTGACTTCACGCGGTTGCCCCGTTCCATGTGTTGTCCTCCTGGAGCATCGCATGAACAAGGCCGCGGAAAGTTGAGTCCTTTACCTAGGGCGACCGATATTTCAGGTCTGCCGCGGTGGCTCGTCCGCATTCACCGGCTAGTGACAATTCCCAAGGTTTGGCCTCAGCGACGTATACTTCGTAACAGCGCACTGTAGTGACTGCACAGCGTGGTCTGCACTAGGTGAGCAATTGATCGTAGATACCCGCTATCCTGCCTTACTCAATGTCGCTTGCATGATTCTACACCAACAGTGTCGATGTGCATGGTTTCCCGCCACCTTACACAAGAGAAATGCTGAACAGGTCTGGAGCCTACATTGACGTTGGGTCACCTACTCTGCATGCTTCTATGTTCATGTAGGCTACAAACGTGTTCGGATTTTTTTTCCTGGTTCGACGTGCCGCTCCTGCTGATGCTCGACGGCACAACAAAGTTAACTGGGGAGGCTAGACCCCGCCAAAAGGCGAACACAGTCCAATCATTAAGGGGAGGCGGCCACACCCCAGGTAACAACATAAAGTTTGGGAGACGTTTTCTGGAATGCGGTGGTTGGCTGGCTTACCAACCCAGACCTTGGGCTTCGAACGGTATTTTACACAATGCCATTAACGACGTCAGTATGCGTAGGGTACCACCAGCAACTATTCGTGAGCGTCCTAATTCTAACGGCGTTGAACTACAACCCTGTATAGTCTTAGCAGCATGTAAAATCTTACATGTAACAACTTTGTATCATCTAGGAGCACTATACAGACTTAAGATGTAATTAATTAGATCCGTGTAAAGGCGTAAGAGCCTTCGTGCTCGCGAGTTATGGCAGGACCTGGTGGTACCACCCAACGCTGAATCAGAGAAAACAAGACCGCCCAATGAACCGAACTATCACGATCCTACAACATATACATCAAGCGGAGGATAATTTTGGATGTTGAGAGCTACAAGAGCATTGAAGATGCTACTACTGTAGTACAATCGTCTTCCATGTGTCACCCTGTTCTCCAAAAGACTTCACAGCCTCCCCATTCATGGTCCCATCCACATAGCTTTCTCCAACCAGGAGATAACCGAACGGCCCGCAAGATCTCAGCACATACGGAACTTCGGCCCCTGAAACAATGCAGCAAACATCTCCCGCAATCGCTATCTCTGGGCCAATACCAATGCGACCTCCGCGGGTAACGAAAAGTCTCCGTGGCCCCATTACCATCTCCGCTGTACGTACAATCCCCACCGCTTCTGGTGCAGTCAAATCGGATTCCAATGGATCCCGTCGATTGCAAGCTCGACTCACCACCTTGAGGGCATCCCAGAATAGCGGTACGAGGGCGTGTTCAAGGTCGGTTTGGAAAGTCAATGCTAATTCCGCGCACATCCTGAACTTTGCAAGCTGCATGCGGCGCGCAAACGGAGTTTCCTCTGGAGTCCATGATGCCGTAGTGATTGTAGCCGCAAATGCAGCAAGTGTATCTTCATCTTCTCTTCGTCTATAACACGTTTCTGCTGCTTTCATCCAATTTAAGACGCATTGCGCCAGATAACCAAGCTTCGACATTGTTACAAACTCCTTCTTGGTAAACTTTGACTCGTCTGTAACGATTTCTCGTGGATCTGATAGCTCCGAGAGTCTCTCAAAGGTGTGCACTACAGTGTCGAAAATGTGTCCCCGGACTCTCAATTCGTTCGCGGCCGATATCTCGTGATGAAATTCCGTGGTATCAGAAGACCTGTAACCCCAAGCGCCTCTCTCGGTAGACAGTCGAATACCTCCTAGTGGCTGGTAATTCCAGCGCGGACACCATGATGGTAGTTCGAGATAGGGTTGACCCTTTCTCCCGTCTCCCCCACAAGTCAAGGACAGGTCGCTATGATCTACACAGGATAGTAGATATGGTTGGCGGGAATACTCGAGCCAAGCTTTCGCGAAGTCTAAATATACAGCTTGAGGTGCGAGCGAGTAATTCGGTTGGATTATGGGCGATGGCGAGCTACCGGTGGACTCTTGTGTTTGGAAGGAAGGATGACCTAGAAACGCGTATAGGTGATCGTGTGGAATTGTTGCTTTGAACGCATATGAGGTATGACAGAGTAGGTCGAGAACGGGTAATGACCGAAAGGATGTGTCCAAGTTACGGTCCTTCCTATCAAATGAAACCCATATTTGGTAGAACGTCCATCCTGTAAGGTCATGTATCCAGTACAGCCTTGCAGCGGGATAACAAAGCCATCCAAGCACATTCATCAATGAGCGCCATGCAAATTGATGGCTACCATACAAAACCTTCACATTTCTGCCAAGTGCGGCTTCTTGTACAACCCAAACACGGCTGAACCAAGTAGCTGCCAGCATCTCCTGGATAGACTTCCAGTCAAGTAAACTCAAATTTCTGATTTCCTCAGCAGAGAGCTTAGGCATGGCATTAAACGTCTTATGAAGCTTCAAGGACGCGCGAATATGAGGTTGGAGATTCGTGATTGCTTCGAAAGCATGCGCAGCAGTTGGGGATTCGCCGAGCGACACGAAGACGCGTTCAGCCTTTGTATAAAGCTCGGCCATCATGGCCACTTGGGATGAGCGTTCGCCGAGATTCTTCTGATTGATACATATCTGATCGGCCCAGATTGCTACCGGCTGGGCGAAATAGGTTGCTTCGTGTTTCGAAGCATGATGAACTTGCCAAAGAGCTTGGTGGAGATTGTGTGTTATGGGAAATCGATGTCCATCCAAGATCACAATTTGCTGTAGGGCGGTAGGACCCCAAACATACGACAGGGCTGAGAATCGAGCGGAAGTATCGATGCTGGCAACTTGTAACGTATACGATAGTTGTTGTTCGTCCTGTTTATGACTCGGTATCATAAGACGAATGGACCTCGCATCATTCAGAGCAGGGTAAACAAATTCCATGAAGCTCGGAATGAAAAAGGTATGAATGCGTATTACACGTACTGCAGCATATTGAAATACTTATTTCCCCGCTATCGTAGAGATAGTGGCGTTTGGTGATGTCATATTCAAGCTTAGAACAACCTGCTACTGTCCAGAGGTTTCTGGTATACGATAAGAATTGACACAGATCGGTGAACGTGCAAGCGTCGCTTCGCCACCCTAGTGCCTTTCTGGTACCGTTCTATCCAAGAGCAGAATTCAGGAAGAGAAATCAAAACTGTTCGGCGTTCGCCCGGCAGAAATGCGGAACGGAATAGCCTTAAAAGGGTTTAGTCTATATCCAGGTGGTTAAGCAGAAGTCGTGCCATTATCACCCTTCAATGATGCTTTTATCGTCTTTTGGTCTTATGAATTGTAGGAGTCTTTGGTACTTAATTTCTACCTTGCGGCGACACAACTGGCCGCTGCTGAGTTTCGTTCACCGGCAACGCCTTCGATTTGTACATAGACAAGCGATTGAATGATTGGCTTCCTTCGACCAATGATCGTAGAGGAAGTGCGGGGTGAGCCTTCGTATCATGCGATTGGAGATAGGCAGGGTTAGCTCGTGTAGGCAGGGTCAGCTCGTGGTAGGTAGCCTGCACTCATTTCAGAGCGGAAGGGCGCTGGTAACAACCAGTAGAAGGCGAAGAGCGAAAACGTGGTGTAGATACTGGGTCGCGCATATGAACGATAAACGAGTGGTTGTTTCTGAACCTTCCTGGCGCAGGCGCCGTCTGACTTTGCATAGCAATACAGTAAGGGGAATTGGTGTCAAAATCGCGACATGATCTTGCTTCGTAAGCGCTTCTGCCTCAAGGTTCGGTGCAGGCGCAGGCGCATGGGCTAGGTGTGGGAGCATCGTTGGCTCTGGCTATGCTGTAAGAACCTTAGATAGTCAAATATGATAACACCTTACTGTCCGCTTCCGACTGTGTGATGGGAGATCCGGGTCTGCCCTTCGGGACTAATAACCTACGCCGATCGCAGGAGAGAGGGAGGCGTGGTCCGATGCGAATTGGTCCACGTGCGCTAAGTTGCGCGCGCCAGCTAAGCATTATAAGCGGAAAATAGAACGGGGCGAACTTGTTGCGAGATGGTGTATGAACGAAATGCACCTGCACGCCTACTATCTGGGAAGACTGTAAAGGGTTGCAGTACGTCGTTATTAGCGTGGACTCACTAGTGTGGGCTTTCCATACTCATCGCGTTGTGGTGCGCACACTAAACACCAACACTCTATCTATGAACTATCGCGGTCTTGATCTCTTGCTATTCTGGTTGCTGCATACTCTGCGTACCTCTCGTCTCGAAGACGAGGCTGGGCGAATTCCACATCCCAGCGCCTCCCGCTTGACAATCACTGCGTATATATATGTTCAAATCACTCATTCCTTTATATACGAACGCTATTGGTGACATGCATTGGTAGTTTGGTGATCATCTCCGAGGACGTTGTACCCAGCGCATGCCCGTTATACAGGGCGAGAGACTCTTGGTAGCAAACTCATATGGCAAGTGCGTGGTCGAGACGTTATACGCTCGTCCACGCGTTGGGATGCTTGCGCCCTAGCACCTTCTCTCTTCTCGCCATCATATGTCTGTGCATTGCTTCTGCCTCCTTGTACTTGCCTCCAAGACTGCTCGCCAGTCCCACCATCTCCACCATTCCCATATTGCTTAACGTCTCCGCGCTCTCTTCACTGAGCACCTCACTTCTCACCTTCATCGATAGTGTTCACATCTGCTCTGCTTCGCCGGCTTTATCTTACTGCTATGCATATCACGCTGCCTTGTAAAGCAATAGCGCCCACTCCTCGAGCGCCTTCTGACTTGCAGGTTGCTTTAACAGCGCCGCCCTCGCGTGAGGGAACAGCTCTTTACACTCCTCCCGGTTCCTGTGCTCTTCTATGGGCAGCTCTGCGCACGAATTAGAGATTAACTGCTCTCTCTACTTATTGAACTGCTTCTGGCTTTCAAGCCACTTGCGCGTCACTTGCTGCACCAGGTTGTGCATCCCAAATGTGTGTGCATCCTCTGTTACCGTGACGAGGGAGTAGTCTCGCGCCGTAAGAATATCCTTAAAGTTGTCATTTCCCGCTGTGCGGCTCGGACTGCGCAACAGAGCTTCAGGTATGCCCTGCCGGTCGAAGAAGCTCGTCAGAAACTGCAAATCTGTTGCCGACTGTCGCTCTGCTGCAGCTCTGCCGGTACTGTTCGAGGTACCGCAGCACTGAGCATCGTGGCGCCCGCTGACGAACATATGCCGGTGTCTGCACGAGAGCGAACGGCATGTGATCGGGCGCTGCTGCCAGCTCGGCAACGTCGTTGTTGCTGTCGCTGTTGCTTTCGCTCTGCTTAGCCTTGTCTCTCAGCTTCTTATGCAGCAGAGCGTGTGCAGCCGTTTCGTCCATCGGCTCAATTAATATGATATCGCTGTCCTCAACAAGCCGCATCGCCGCTTGTCATGTCCGAATCGTCACCAGCGCTGAGCCGTGCTTGCTTGGCGGCAGATGTCCCTCCAGCTGCTGCTGAAAAGCTCCCACCCTGTTGCCGACGCTGCTGTCCTTGTCTGTCTGCAACTGCGTTAGTCGCAGGTGCTGAGTAAAGGTTCTCTTGACTGCACTTACCCTATTCCGCCGAGACTCACTAGCGCAACGCGCAATGCTGGAGCAGAGCATCGCTTGTCGATGTGGTCGAGTAGTGTCACGCAGTAGACAAGGTCTGGGTCGCGCCTGAACAGCATAGTCGGCGTTGATCCACACCGACCCACTTTACTTTCGAAAGCGCCATCTATCCCTAGAGGCCTGCGTTATCTAGCTTGCATCTAGGACTATATACACTCTGTCCCTAAATGAGACATGTTCGTCAAATCTAATGCTCTAACGTAAGATATAGAAAAGCATGCTTTACATTGACTCTTAGCGTAAGAAACTTAGCACTTTAGCATACAATTCTACTCTTAGTCTCTAACTCCTGAGGCGCATTATGTGTTGCCAGCTCTGCAACTTCACCTTTGCCCATCTCTCCAAAACCATGCTCGGCGTACAATTCATGTAAATAGGCCTGTTCGGGATGCTTTTGATCCTGTGCTAATCGTGTTTGTTCAGTGTCGCTGTCTGCTTTGACGTGCTTCTGTTCCTTGGCCTTCTTTGACTTGAAAAGTAGTAGTGCGACTGCAGTCGCTAGGAGTATAAAGACCACTACACCGATCGCGACACCGGCTTTTGCGCCTGCACTGAGGCCTCCTGAAGGGGAATTCTGCTTTGACGAAGACGATGTCGCAGGCGGTGAGGTGGAGGCTAAAGGCGAGGTTGTCGCTGAGGGAACAGTCGACGTCAGACCCACAGTTGCCGCGAGTTCGAAGATGTTCTCCTTGTCATCACAGCAGCTCTTCTCTCCACAGCACCATTTATTTTCCCCACAGTTCCACACGCCTACATTACCATGCTGGTCACCAGGATACTGTACTGTCTCGTTAGTGACATTCGTACATGAAGCATGCGGCGGTATACCTCTGTCGCATTACAAACATCCCCAAGACAATATGGGCTATTCCACAGTTGGTCTGTACAGCCCTGTATTGCCCAGACCTGCTGACCCTCATTCGTCCCGTTGTATGCAGAGAAGTTCTGACAAAGACCATTATCCTCGCACACATCGTTCGCAATGCCGACGTGCCCAGCGCCACTGTGGTTTGTCATGCAGCATGTGGAATGCGTTGTTACGTTGTTGCACGGTTGGAAAGCTGCATCGAGAAGGGTGGTGCCGTTGCGGCTGTAACAGTAGCGGTCTTTGGTAGAAGTCTGTGACATGGTGGGAAGGAGATCAGGAGAATTATGAGTTGTTAGGAAAGGATCGATACGGCAGCAGGAGAAAGGTGAATTATAGTAGGAACGCGGCTTTTGCGATGTCTAATGCCGTGATCCCTGCGTCTAGGTGCTAGTTCATGCGTCTGCATCATTTAGAAGCAGCAATAGAGCATGTAAGCGCTTAATCAAGATATTTGTGTGGTGACTTTCCAATCGCAATCTGCAAAGGGCTGGTGCATTATCACTTGCAGATTGTTACAGCGCTGGCCCGCATAGCCAATAAGAGCGCGCCAAACTGCTAAGCGAGCAGCTGCGCGATTACTGAAACTCCTGCGCGAACGCGCCCTGTCGTACGCTTCTTAAGCTACGTCCTTATCTTAGCCTAACCCTGGACTGTTAGCGATACAGTAGTGAATACACCGACCTATCTTCCCCGCCTGCCGACCGCGTGAGAGTCTAATTATACTTTAGAATACCTTCAGAAAAGCCATGACTATAACAGCGTTAGACATTGTAACTGCGCCCGGGCACCACGCTAATGTAACGTCGGAGGAAAGCCTCCGATTGGATCTGCAGGGGCTATGTCTTGTACAAGACCTCCGTGTTTCAACCCGTGTTCGTGGCGTCTATTCATGAGAATTCTAAGCGCTAGATCGCTGCTTTATCAGTCGCGCATACGCGCTAGTGCATGGCATCTACGCGGAGCAAGCCATCAACTACAGAATGTGTGCTAATAGTCTGCACACAGAGAAGGAGCTTCCCGTATACAAAAAAGGGGCTTACTGGATACAGAAGAATTAATGGACTTTGTGATAATCGCATCCCCGCTGTTGCATGTATTATTATTTTTTTGCCAATCTTTTTGCGCCATGTCCAACTCAGGCAGGTAGGCCGACAGAGAAGACTTCTAGACGTCGAGCCACCTAGGCAGGCTGGAACACATTAGACTTGGCTACTTGCAATCTCGAAAGATCATCCACAAGATTATCAACGGCGCTGTGTTGCGAGATCGCGATTTTTGCATCCAAAAGCCGCTCAGCTAAGTTGTCCATCTCTGTATCCCCATCGAGCCTGATTCTGTTCTGCTCCTGCACTCCCATCTCTTCGCGCACAACTGTCATATCCCGAATCCCATCCATCGTGTCTCTTCTTTGTCCCAAAGCCTTGAACCCTTCAAGATACTTGATTCGGAATATACCTGCTCTATCTTCTGCTTCACAGACCCTACCTCCCTTCTCCACAGCTTTTAGCACGGCTTCATACGTCCAAAGCTGTATGTTCGTTTCTACGTCGTCTGTCAGTCTCCGCGGACCCGATCGTCTATTATGCTGTTCTAGGTATTGCGGGTATTGGCTGTGTATCTGATCTTCAACGCAGACGGGGCAGGTGAATGGATGCTGATGCAGATTTTCTTGTCGCTTGAGCCAGGCTAAGAGGAGTTTGGGTTTTGCGGAGTAGATACTGCGCGTGCAGTTTGATGAGCATGGCGACTTCGGGACAGGGAAGAACACCGGTGTGGAAGGCGAGGACGGCGGCTTGATGACGTGTTCGCAGTCGAGAGTGTGGAGAGGGGTGGACGGGTCGTCGCAATGGTTTCGAGGCGGCGGCTTGGTGAGCGCCATAGTGGAGTGCGGTATGGGTTGGTTGGACAAGTCGCGGGCGGGAAGAATATGGGGTTGAGTGTGAGTGAAATGGTAGGCTGTGGTGGTGGGATTGTGAAGACATGATGTGGACGGACATATAATAGAGGCGTCAAAGTGCGAGTGAAATTACAGTTGTTTGAGAGCTGGCGTATCTTTGGCATACAGTGACTACCTTCATTGGAGGTGCAGCGCATCCGCTATCGTCGTATCATCCTTGGCTACCGGCGCCCCAAGTCCCTCTTTCTTACCCGGCAGTCCACATTCCAACAACCTCCTCCTCTTCACATCCTCACAACCCGTAACGGTAAACACCAGACCCCTCCCCATGGTCCGCCTTGCCTTCATATACATCGCCGTCGCAACAGCCTGCAGCATTCGCGCAACGTACTGTACCATGTGTACCTCTTCGTAACGCACATCAAATTCGACGTGTTCGATAGAATGCTGCTCTGGAATGCAGCGGAACGCTTCGCGCCAGCTTTCGACGATCGATTCCATCAATACGTAGGGGGTCTTATGATTGATTTTGAACAGTTCAAGAACATTGTTGCTATAGACATAGGGGGAGATCCGGATGCACAGCGCTTTGATCGCGGTGCTGGGAAGTAGGAAGTGGTCGTCGGCGGACTTGCGTGAAAGCTGCGGCTGAAGGATGGGAACATTAGCGTCGCCGGTGGCTAGCTTGGTGCCGAAAATTGAGAGGGTTTGGGGATCGTTGATGGTGATGAGGACATGGGGTGAGTTGCCAGCGGCGATTTCTCGGTCGAGATCTGGATGTTTTGACGATGATGTGAGAGTGTCGGGGTGCGCGGTGTCCGTCCCTAGCTCTAGAGAGACTGGCATCGCGAAACGTTGATTGTTCTATGGGTCGTCAAGGAAGAAGGGTGTGTAGAGGAGTGCATGTCGATGTTGATGTCAAGGCTTTTGACGTTTTGACTCCGCCCGATGTTGACGATTTAGGCAACCATCAAGGCAGCCAATGAGCGTGGCTGTCTTCTATACTGCTGGGAAGATCGCTCGTTCTCTCTGACTATTCGAGTTATTGGCCCTTGGTGCCGATACATCCGAATATTGCCGGGACAATACAAAGTTCCGCAGGCGTTCCCTTCCCGCAAGTGTCGGTCATCTTGCGCATCGCCCATGTTGTTACGTTGCAAAGCAAGCAAGCACGACCAGCAATCAATGTGGAAGCAGAGGTAGCAAGCTGACGTCATTCTTCAACCACTCGTCAGTCGCGCCTACCCCAGCTTCACGATACCTCCGCCAAGTTTCGTATGGTGCAACTATATACTACACCACCATGTGAACCCATACCACGAGATTGTCCGAAGACGCTGTAACACCCTCACTATCCGTAGCGTACGCGATGCGCATTCTGAAATCATGGGGGAGGTGAAGACTGCGCGGTTGCTATTGTGCGCGGCCTGCCCTTCACTAACTACGGCTGCATGAGTATCGCCACTTCAAGAGCTCACACCCAACTCACCCTCACTTCTTGGCGGTGAATTCTGAGTATTCAATCCTATTGTCCTCAGACTGACCCTTCTCTTTCGACTCACTCGACCTCACCTGACCTATAGTCCAAGCTACCGACCACCCACCTACCGCACAATCCAGATCGCGCTTGCCGCCTACATCATCCTGTATCCCGACGTGTTCTCGTTGTTAGCATCCATGTCGTCGTCTGTCGCCAGACAATTCGACAACATGCTCACCACTCGGTGGTCGCTCCCAGGACAAGCAGCCGCGCCATCGCCATCCACCAAGCACAAGGCCGACTCCAAGCAGAAGACAGACGCCATACACGAGACAGTCACCTACCCACACATATTAGGGCTACGGGAACAGAACTCCTGTCGCAATGCATCCATGTCCTACGAGCACCTCCTCGAATGCGGCCACCTCATCACCACACCGACGCCCGATGAGCGATGCGCACCCAATTGCTACTGTGTCGAGCACGGATGGCATGAGATCAATGGCGACGAGAAGAAGAAGGCG